TTTACTACACTTAAAAAAAAAAACAGTGAGGGGCCTCCCCGGTGGTGCAGCGGTTGAGCGCTGGGTTGCGAAGCTGCCCGCGGACTCTGCGGCGCCAGTTCGATCCCCGGCTGCTCCCCGGCCACCGGAGGAGGGTCCCACATGGCGCGCAGACCTCTCCTGCCGCCCGCTGCTCCCCCAGCAGTGTACTTCGGTCCTTCTGCCTGCTCTGCTCCCCGCTCTGGCTCTGGTGAATTCTCTCACCCTCCCGTGCTTCTGACTGTGCCCAGTGCATGTATAAACAAAACAAACAAACAAACAAATAAAATAAAATAAAACATGCCTCTATTAAAAAAAAAACAGTGAAAGTTCTATCTGAACGAAGTTTAAAGAATCACAGTTCTCTCAGTCACTACTTTCAGCTCTTTTAGATGAGTTCTTTTTCTTTTTTTCCCCTGTTTATTTCTAAATAACATGCCCACATATGCTATTTCTTGATTGAAAATTTTAGGTCTTACCTATGGAGCACCTGGAAGGTTGAGATTTTGCTTTTCACCCCTCCCCTCTCCAAAATGGGGCTCCTCCCTCCCCTTTGGGTAACAAGGTCAGAGTTTACACTCCCATTCTGGGAAATTTCATCAACAGAAGTATTTCTCTAAGGATTTCTTTCCCATCCTTTCCCTCTTCTCCCTTTCTAGAATTTCTCTTCTGCAGACACTGGGTTGCCTCTCCTTCTGTTATCTTTCTCTTCTTTCTGGGAGATGATAACAAGTTTTTCACTCAGCCTTCCTTTTAAGTTGCTGTTTTTGAGATCTCAGTTCTTAATTTTTGGGAGAAGGTGGGTTCTCTGCCTGTCCACTTTAATCGTCTGTGAGAATGTGAATAGTCATTTTATAGAAAAGTTTCCTTCCTCCTGTATAGTTTGGGTTTTGCTTTGTGTGTGTTTGTGTGAGACAGAGAAAGAGACAGAGACAGAGAGAGAGAGAGAGAGAGAGAGAGAGAGAGAGAGAGAGAGAGAGAATGCGCTGCCAGGGTTGTTTCACTTGGAGAACCCCTGCTGTCACTATATTTTGTTTCTTTCTTCTTGGTCTGTCACATTGTTCACTGAAAATTCTTCATTTCCTTCCTGAGGACTCTCCCTGACTGCTAGACCTGGGAGCCAAATGTGGGATGAGACGGGAAGGGCTAAGTAACTGGTCTGCACGTGAACTTGAACTAGGCCCTCCAGTTCCAGCTTGGTAGTGCCACCAACGACAGGCACATGTCCTCAGTCTGAAGTGTCTCTCTCACTATCACTTTGCTCTTAACTTCTATGTCTTTTTTTTTTCTTTTGCACTATTGTCAGTGTTCTTGGTCTCTATAATTTCATTTTTTAAAATAAATGGAGAATAATGAGTATTTTCTTTGTTTATATATGTTGCTAGGAGTTCATAGCTGCTCTATTTTCTTGGTAGCATATTACTTATATTATTATGAAATATTTATCTGTTCTCTTTTATTCTTATCAACCTGAATTCTATTTTATTGAATTTGTTTTATTTTATTTTTGTTTGATTTTGCTAAGTCCACATTTGCTGGTTTATAGTTTTTTCTGTTGTTTTGTTTTTCAACCTTTTTGTATATTGCTCTTTCATTCCGAAACTTAGTCATTTAACTTCTGTCTTTTAAGTGACCTATAAATGTGATCTAGGGCCTCCCCAGTGGCTCAGCGGTTGAGTGCTGGGTTGCGAAGCTGCTCACAGCCTCTGCAGCGCCGGTTCGATTCCCGCTCACCGGGTGAGGGTCCCACATGGCGCGCAGACCTCTCCTGCCGCCCGCTGCTCCCCTCAGCAGTGTACTTCGGTCCTTCTGCCTGTTCTGCTCTCCGCTCTGGCTCTGGTGAGTTCTCTCGCCCTCCCGCGCTTCTGACTGTACCCAGTGCTTGTATGAATAAATAAATAAATCTTTAAAAAAATAAATAAATAAATGTGATCTATTCTCATTTATTATGACAACCTGAATGTTTGCACCAATTCCTTGACATCTTATTGATTTAATTTTTGTTTTTCATTTATATTTCTCTCTTGTCCATCCCCCAGCTCCCATTTTCTTCTCATTTGTTGAATTGCTTAATTTGTCACTTTTTTTTTTCTTTGTTATGTTTTGGAAGTTATTCTTTCCACTTCTATTCGATCTCACTTCTATTCAAAGCCAAGAAACCCACAAGTAAAGGACTGGAATAATTAGGCTTAAAGTAAGTTTTCAAACAGTGGAAATGGACCAACCTGATCAACAAAGGATAGGGAAGGAGTTTTCATAGCCCAGGAAATATTTTAAGCAGAAGCTAAAACCACTAAGATGAAAAAAAAAACCAGAATCTTCTATCAGTGAAACTGCAGCATCTGTCTGCTAGAAACTATTAGGGCACAAGTATTGGGAAATGCTAGAGGGACAGGGCACACTTTCAAGTTCTGCTTTAAAGCATCTTTGCCTCATGTTTCCCTCTGAGCTTGTGCAGGCACTTCCCCTTCCTCCTTGCATTTCCCCCAACTCCATGCTCCATGTCCTCTGCTGACCCTCCTTCCAGTGAGGAGGGGAGAGGAGAAGAGATAGGGCTCTGGAGAGAGAACAAGAATGTGGTTGAGAGTGATCCTCACCCTGTGTCATGCACTCTGGGCAGCATCAAGGGTAGCTGGCCATCCCTGTTCTTGACAATTACATCTGCTAGACAGATGACAGGCCGCCTGTCAGGAGGCTGCTCAGCGCCTGGGCACTTCTGTCATTGTTAACAGTGAGCAGGGCACGTTTTTCCAGGAACCAGATATTAAAATTATATCTAGCTCATGCAATTAACTGGAAATTTGTGAGCTATTTTGCCAGCAGGCATGCAGGTTTATGATCATGTGGCAAATGCTAAATGAGCCCAAGTTGACCAACAATTTCTTTGAAATTGGGAATGTGTGCAGTGGGGCTGGTAAGCAGTCAGATTCTGCAGGAAGAGGAATTATGGAAGGAATAAGAGCCCAAGGATTTGGGTGTGTCAGCCAGGCCTAGAGAGGCCAAAGGAGGGGCCTGGTAAGATGCTGGCATCTCCAGAGATGCTGGCTCCGTTAGGAATCCGCTGGCTCCCTGGCCTCGAATATCCTTTTGCAGTTTGGGTTGGGCCCGAGGACTCCTCCTGTGTCCAGAGTGCTGATTGGGATGTCAATACCTCCATTTTATTAGCTGTTTCCACCAGAAACCAATTATGTCTGGCAAAGGTGGTAGGGAAATAAGACGAATGGCCCGTTTGGGAGATCTGGGATAGAGGTTTCTTATGGAACTGCAACTAATAGGTAAGGGCCACCCCAGGGCTCACCCTGCAGGAAGCCTTTGCAGTTCCACATGATGCCTGGTTACTCTGTGTACACACTAATTCACTAGGCTCACCTGGTGTCACAATGCAGCCCTCCTAGGAGATGATGCTGTGGGCTGGGCCAGGAGGAAGACTACAGTAAGGTCAGAGGTCATAGGCAAGGTTCTGAGAGACTGGGGACCCCTGGAAACTCTGGCCACAGTCATGTTAGCCAGGAAAGTCAAGACATTGCTGAAGGGCCAATGCTGGTCTTCAACATAAATGCCACACTATGAAGTGTGCAGTGAAGTGGGTAGTTCTGGGCTTTAATAACATGGTCTTGCTATGTAACACCTTTTGCTTTGAATTAGATTTGTCTTAGAAAGGGGAACTCGCCATACTACCGTGGATGAAAACCAGTACTCCATTCCAGAAACAGAAGGAACCATCAGAAAGAATGCACTGAAGATAGAAGCTAATTATGTTGCCACTGAGCCCTGTCGTGAGGCCTCCTCCTTCCTGAGTCAAGACTCCATCTTCTTCAAGGAAGGACCCCACATGGTGGAGAAATGTTAAAGACATACTTCTACCAAAATGACACTTCCTCCTTGATATACTCAGAAGAATTGAAAGAGGGGTTGAAAGACTCAGTTTCTTTGTGTGGGGCAACATGATCCCGCACTGCAGTAACTACTCACACCTGGCAGGGCACCCAATCTTTCCAGGCCCCACATCCACACTGGGGTGTGCTGAGGTGTGCTCATGCTCCACCCTCCATGGCTCTGGGGCCACTGACCCTGGGTAGGGTCTCCTCTTCCTTTCTGACTTAGAGCAATGACTAGGAGCATCCTTTGGGACATCATTTACATACTGCTTCCAAGGGACACAGGTGCATATTACTTGCATTGTCCAGGGAATGGGCACCCAGACAATTCTAACCTCTGGCTGAAGTCCAGCTCATGTGAAACCCATGTGTCAGAAGCCTCAGTCAGAGGCTGCATCCTTTACATTCTCTTCCCTATTTTTCCCAAGAGAAATGAGGCTATCTGCTAAGTATCCCCTCTCTCTCTGAATCCTACAACCAGGGGAGATCACCAGCCCTGCAGCCAGCTGCCTTGCACTGCAGAACACAGTGCAGACCATGAGGACATGAAGTCCAGGAGTGAGCGGGCCACACTGAGGCAGGACCAGGCAATGCACTGCTCCGAGTGAGGGGACTTTGTGTAATCTGCGGGGGAAGGCAGATGAGTTAGGCACCTGATATAGCTGTTTCCACTGTTGGCGAGAAACAGAAGCAGCCACTGACTGAAGCTTCTGACACACGGGTTTCACATGAGCTGGACTTCAGCCAGAGGTTAGAATTGTCTGCGTGTTGATTTCCCTGGACAACGGAAGTAATATGCACCTATGTCCCCTTGGAAGTACCGAAAGCCTAAAAAGAAGGGATGCTCTCTAGCAACATTCTAAGAAAACATTTTCATTACTGAAGCTGTAGATGTGTTTTGGTCAAATAAGCTATGCGACCAAAAATGTGGGGGCTGAGAATATAAATCACTTTGGAAGTCCTGGTGGAATGTCCTTCTGAGTGCAGTCAGTAGCTTGGGTTCTTAAAGATGGTCTCTCTGCTTTCCTGAAACCCCTGGGCATAGTTTGCCCTCCTGGGAGCCCCGCCCTGATGCCCATCAGACACAGGATATATGCTTCTTACCTGGGGCTTGGTCTCATCTTTGTCCTTGTAGTAGAAAAGCTGATCTCCACGCAGCACAAACCAGCGCTGCTGCCAGTTCTTCATGATGCTTCTCTGCTTCTTCAGCCAGCCAGCCTTCACCACAGGGCCTAGCCTGCGGGGGCAGGGCGGCCGCCCGGGGCTCCGGCTCTGCTCCCCCATCACCAGGCTCTTGGAGCGGGCTGGAAACCAAGAACACACACAGTGAGCGTAAAGAATGGCATGCCTGTTGCCAGTCCCTGCCCCATCCTGGCATCCCAGCTGCTCTGTGACCAGGGCATAGTGGCTGAGGCCAGCAGGGCATGATCATGTTTATTATACTGCCCCCTGGGCATCAAAAGGCCTTGAGCTGGAGCACCTCACCAGCAGCAGCCCAAGGTTACCACCTGATATAGGTGTACAGCCTGCCTGCCTGGTTAGTTTTGGCTATGTCATGAAGAAAAAAAACCAAGGAGGATATCCCATGGGTCTTACTCTAGGCGATTGGGTCACTGACAGCGGAGAGATCAAGGGCAGGCATCATCTCTTCTTCCTGCCACCATGAGCAGCTGTGATGGCTCTGTGGGTACCAGCTGTCACTCGAGTCAGACCATGTAGGTCCACATTTGCTGGACCTTGATTCCCTGCTGCCAGCCCTGGGCCATTGGTGTTGAATGTCCCAGCCTTGCCTCTGTTGTGCTTTGATCCAGAGAGGGTGAGGGCTGCTCTCCGCTGTGCCCCATTGCACTGAAGGGAGACTGGGCAGCCTGAGAGCAGCAAGTTCTTTCCAGAGATCGAAGGGAAAGCAAATCAGAAGAGTCAAGCCTGGATGGCATGGACAGGCTCCTCCTTCTGGCCTCTGAAGCCTGAGGCTGACCTGACTGCTAATCTACACCTCTGCTCCTCTCTCTGATGGGCCTGGCCCCCGGGCATAGTGACATGCACCAGATGAAAGGGTACCTCCCTCCTTTATTTCTATGACCCTTTACTATTCCTGTGAGTTACCTACCCACTGTTGGGCACTTGAATTCTTTCCAGTTTTAGCTAATTAAAGAGGCAATGGAATCCAGGTGAAGAAATACGGAGTCAGGTTTGGGTCCCTGCCAGCTCTGTGAATTCTCTGGGGCTCAGTGTGTTGAAGCAGAACTGTTTCATGAGTGTGCATTCCAGCTCAGCTCATGGGGAGAAAGGCAAGACCTTTCTATGGCGTTAGGTCCTTTCAGTGGTATTACATACTTCCTTCTAAAATTGGTGTGTGGTGGGCCTTTCTGGTGGTATAGGGGTAAAGTATCAGCATTATGGCTGTGACAGCCTGAGTTCGCTCCCAGTCAGGGAGCTAACCCACATATGGCACAGCAGACCTCTCCTGTCTCTCCACTGCTCCCCTCAGCAGGGTATTTCAGTAGATCTGTCTGTTCTGCTCCCCACTCTGTCTCTGCTGCATCCACTCACCCCCTGCACCTCTGGCCTATACCCCAGTTCTTGTATGCGTAAATAAATAAAAATAAATCTTTAAAAAAATGAATAAATATGGTGTGTGAACATGTAACACCACACAGTTATACTAGTCTACCAATTTCTCTATAGCCAGCAGTGGGAAATACGATAATATGAATAGTCTTACTCCGTAATTTAGTAGTAAAAAAAAAAAAAACAAAACAAAAATCAGGGAGAGTTAAATCAGTTTTACTAACTGCAAACTCAGCAGTCTCCCATGGAGGAAGAAATGTGCTGCTAGCTGAGGCTGGGCCAAGCTTCTGGCGGAAAGTCGGGGGCTGAGCAGACAGAACCCGATAGTGACAGGAAGAGCCTTTCCTCCTAGGCCTTTCTTTTATCCCTCCTCCCTTCAGCTGTTGAGGGATAGAGCAGGACTACATTCATCAGACACTGATTCCTTTCAGGCTCTGAGGCTGTGTGGGGCCCAGGGACATGCTAGACATGAGGATTACATCATCCAGGTTTTCTGGTGGAGGAACCCACTTCATGGCATGTCCTAGTACCACATGCCTTGTTCTGTCTCTTGTCTTCTGTTATGATGGGTCTGATGCTGTCTCCTTTGACAAGATCATGATGCTGTTAGGACCAGAGGGAACCTGCCCTAGCTGCACAGGCTCAGCATACAGTAGCAGTTCAGCAAAAACTCAGTGACTCATCAGTGCATCCCAACACTGAAGAGAGCAGAAGGCCCGAGTGCTGTGCTGGATGGTAACTGAGGAAGTGCTTTCTGTCCAGGTGTGTCTGGCCAGAAAGGCTAAGCTCTTGGTGTAAGGACCCTGGCCGCTGAGCCTGGCAGGGAGCAGGTGGTCAGCATACTTGTGTGGTAAATAACCACAGGTATGACTGCCCCTCAGCTCCTCGATGCAGCAAGACAAAGTAGCAAGAGGGGTTTCTTGCCCTCCTTTCTAAGCTCTGGGCATCTGCTCTCCAAAGGGCTGCAGGCATGAAGAGAACAGACAAGGGGAGACCTGTTCACCAGGGAAGGGGGCTGGACCCACTTAGGGCAGGAAGCTATGGCTGGTGGGTCTGTTTCAGCAGAGGCGGCCTCCCTGAGGGCCTAGCCCCTTCACCCCCACCCCAGCTCTTGCTCCCTCAGCTCACAAGGGAGGTTTTCCTGCAGATGTTACTTAAGCTGCCAAACTAGCCCAGGTTTTCCCTCAGCTGATCAATCACGCAGATACTACTTACAAGGCCGATTGAGCATCTTGAAAGGAAAATAATCGTTGTCATGACTTATTAATAACCACTGTTCCTGTCCTCAGCATTTCCTTGAATCAACTTATTCAGTTCTGTAAATATTTAAACCAAGGTTTCAAGATGAATACGGTTGATATTTGAAGTTCCAGAACTGACGGGTCTTTCTAGAAAGGACCCATGAGCGACCCAAGGGAAGCCCTCACCTGGGAAAGAGTGGAGGGTGCCGTCTGCCCTCCTCAAAGTAGGGGCTCTTCTGCCCACAGGCACATAATTCATTCAGTCATTCACTCACTCACTCACTCACTGCCATCTTCCAAATCCATACAACTCCTCCAGGTACTGTACAGAACCTTGAGTTGTTCATGTTCCCTGGGAACACCCAGTCTGGCAGGGGAAATAAACCACAAAGAACAACCACACAGGCATGAAAGAGCCATAAGCCAAGTAGACAGGCAAAGGCTGTAGATGCTTAGGTGAAGGTGTGGATCTTTCCACAGAGCCACAGAGGAGAGCCCTGAACTGAATCCTGGAGAGAATTTGGGTCTACCTCTAGGCAGGAGGGGCTCTGACTTGAGAAGAAGGAGCTAGTGGACAGAAGGCAAGGCACAAGTGTCTGAGAGGTGAGAGTTGAAACCAGGTGGCTACCATCAATAACACCTCTTATTCCTCAGAATAACCCTGCAATCACCCCAACTTTGTGTGAGCTCTGATTGAGACTCAGGAAGGAAGCAGCTTACTCAAGGTCACACGACACTGTTACATAGTGGAGCCAGGAGTTAAATCCTGCTGGGTCCTGGTCACCATGAATGTTACGATTCTTCCATAGCAGGGCCGAGTCCAAGTGGGCACTAAGAGCTTAAGGGCAGAGCTGCCATGGAGAGAGAAAAGGCAGCCTAAACAGGAGGGTTTTCTCAAGACGGACAGCTTGGTTTCCATCCATCCAGGGCCTATTCAGGATGAAAACACAAATCAACTCAAACCCAAGAGGTTGGAGTCCCAGGTGGAGGAAATGGAATTCAAGGACCAAAAGATACATCCATCAAAGAAGGGCAAAGGCTGCGTAGCATCAGGGTGCTGCCAGAGCAACATGAGGTGCAGGGCCCGCAGACCAGCCCCTGGCCCAGGCTGATTTCCTATCAAGGAGATGGGGACCTTTGGTTTCTCAGGGTCGAAAAAATTAAAGAAACATACAGACAAGGAAATACAGGTGGGCCAATAAAGCGGTAGCTCTAGAGATGCCAATGTCCATGGCAGTCAGGGACCTGCAAGGCACAGCCACAATGGGACGCAGCACTGTGGATCCTTTAGTGAGGCACCAGGCTAGAAGTTTAGTAGCACCATGTATCGGTGAGGCTGTGAGTAGATGGAGAGCATGTACCTCTCCCCAACTGGAAGAGCTGCAGTGCACAGGGATAACTCTGACGGGCTCTGTCCTCTTCCCAAATGCAAATGCCCCAAATTCCCAACAACAACAACATGGCCACAAAAGCTATGCTTACACGATGGGACACTTTGCAGAAAGAAGACGAATGTGTATGAGCCAACAGGATTAGCTCCCCTTTAATAAACACCTCAGAAGCGATGTCTTCATTTCCTTTCTCTAATTCTTCTTCCATTTTCTGTATTTTATCATAGCAAAATACACATAACCTAAATATTACCAGTTTAATCACTCTGAAGTGTTCCATGCTATGGGGTTAAGTACAGTCATGTTATTATATAACCATCATGACCAACCATTTCCAGCACTTTCCATTCTCCCATGATTTCTTGTTCCAATCAGGCTTCCTTTACTCTGTCCCACCAAAGCTGCTCTTATCAGGGCTCCCAGTGACCCCCACATTGCTCAGTCCTAACACTGGGCAGGTTGGTTCATTCTTTCCTTTTTAGCATTTGACCTAATTGGTCTTCCAGGACCATTTCTACCCCTGGGTTCCAAGCTCATTCTCTTCTCTCCCCTCTGTTGCTGGCTGCCATTCAGTCTCACTATCCTCACATCTTGGCATCCAGTGCCTAGGGTAGTGCTTGGGCCGAATTTCTATCCAGGCTCACTGTCTGGGTGGTCTCCCGTCTCATGGATTTCAAAACCATCGATGTGCTAATGTCACTGGCCAGAGCAGAACGTGTGGTCTTTCCCTGCCTGAAACCTCCCACACGAGCCCCCTCAGTCAGTGGAAATGCTGTCCTTAGGTCGCCAGTTCCCAGCTGCTACCATTTCCCACCCCAAATTGCTGCTACAGCATTTTCTTTTCTCCTGCTCTGCCCTCCCCACTGCTGTCATCTCTGAGCAGAGCATTAGAGAGCTTTTAAAGATGGGAGTTGGAGCACACTGCTCCCACATGGGGCTCCCCTTCTCAGTCAGGTAGTCGGAGCCACCATTACAGTCTACCGGGGTGCTCAGGGCCTGGCATGTGGCCCTCCCTCTGCTTCCCCAGTCCTGCCACACTGGTTTCTGCTGTTTCTCAAATAGAGGGGGCTGTGTGCCTGTCGCCCAGATCTGTACCTGGTA